TCTCTCTCTCTCTCTCTCTCTCTCTCCCTCCCTCCCTCTCTCTTGCCTTCTGTTCTTCGTTTATCTGACAGCCTTCGATTTTAACATTTTGTAAAGTAAATTCAATGTACAGAACGCTGCTTACTGGAAGTTCTTTCGCCTGAACTAACCTGATTCTCCCTGTTGTGTCTATTCATGTCTTAGTTTTTCGAAACACTCTGTAACCGCAAGTTGTCGTGTCGAAACTGTGCTGTTCCCTCCACCAACGAAAAAACAATAAGCAATACACATGCCTTATATTGTTCCTGCAGCATGCTTTTGTAGACGGTAAGGTATTTTTCGGAAAAATTAGGCTATTACTTAATGGTTTGTTTATTGAATCTTCAATGAACTATTGGTTTATTTGAAAGCCACTGTCTGGTTAGGTTTTTTATTTATTTTTTTTTTGGTGTTTTTTAATGTTGAAGTCGTTTGGAGCTGGGTAGGTTTTTAAGTTTTGTTTCTATTTAATTCTTTTTTTCTAGTTGATTTTCTTTTAACTTGAAAACGGTAATTTTTGTTGTGTGTCTTTGTACTGACATTCTAATTATTGTTCTTTGATACACTTGATGCCCAGTTCGTCTAAAAGACAAAGCCATGGGTCACCTGCCCTCGATTTATTTCTAGAACAAAATTATGTTCGAAAATAGCAGTTATTTGCCTGTGCATAAAAATTCCAGTTCGGGCAATCGCAGACTTCGGCTAACGTAGTCAAGTCGTATATTATGGAAGAAGAATTGTATATGTGTTTTCGTAAGGCTAAAGCTTGCTATAAGAGTTATCTTATTGACCTTATGAGGTTTTTTTGTTTAGGTTTGTTTGTTTTTCTCCAATACTTCATAAGCATAAAAAGAACGTTGCTGGCCGCATTACAAATTGCTTTCTACAACTTTCGAACAATTCAGTTACTGAAGGGTAGCGTTGCCTGTTTCAATTTAATGGTTTGATTTTAAAACCTTGTACAGGGGGGGGGGGTTGTCTGTTTGTTTGTTGTTGTTTGTTTTTGTTTTTTTGGCTAGTGTTTTACGGTCGCTACTGCATAAGGTTATGTGAGCGCGCGGGACACATTAAACAATTTCAGTTGGTAGGAAATTTTTGAATTTTCCCCGGGTGGCGGTCGAAGCCTACTCTACTCTATTTTAGACCACCAAGGGATCTTTGACGCGCGCAGCTTGCACACAGAACCTCCAAGATTTTTCGCCCTTGCCCGACAAGGCTAGATGTAGATCTTTCCTACCAGAAGATCAGGGGTGTGGCTGAAAGACAGCTGTAAGAAGGGGCCAAGGAGTAACAGTAGAAAGGCTGCAGAAGAGGAGGGGGCAAAGGAGGTGAGGGTTGGGGGCAGACAGTGGAGACGAAAGCAGACGACAGAAAATTGCTAGAGAGCAGGAAGGAGGTGAAAAGAGACCATTTTTAGAAGAAAATTGTTTTCCGTCGCTACCCATGTTTCAACCCGTTACCATTGTTAAGACGCGAATACCTTCACCTCTAGGCCACGAGAACCCCCTCTTGTACAGTTTATATAAACTTTCTTTTCCTTTGTTGAATAGTTCCTGTGTGCATTTATTTGGTATTTGGTTACTATTTTTCTTCTTTTTTTAACTGTTTCTCTTTTTGTTTGTTTGTTTGTTTGTTTGTTTTTGATAATGTGGGCATCTTGGCTGTAATGAATAACAATGATAATAATAATAATAAAGAAGGTAATAATAATCAAATAATAATAATAATAATAATAATAATAATAATAATAATAATAATAATAATAATAATAATAATAATAATAATGATAATAATAGTAGTATTGTTAATAATAATAATAATAATAATAATAATAATAATAATGATAATAACAATAATAATAATGATAATAACAATAATAATAATAATAATAATACTTTGTCCACTGTCATACACAAGACAGAGCCGAAACGTACTATGAATAAGCAGGTAATTGGCGAATGCTCTGGTGTGGTTTGCTTTTTCGTTCCTGTCTAACATCTATCGTCCTGGTGTCTTCTCCTTTATTTTTGTTTTTGTTATTTTCTTGTAACTCCTCTAATGCTCGGCACTTATATGACCTTGTTGCGTTGCAAGTGTAAAACCCGCCTTACTAAAGAAGCACTTTGAATTAGAGGGACAAACTATCAATTAAATTTTGCTTCGACTTTGTGTCCTTGGAATATTGTACGAGAGAGAGAAGAAAGTGTATATGCGTGTGTTAGAAAGACAGACAGAGAGAGAGAGAGAGAGAGAGAGAGAGAGAGAGAGAGAGAGAGAGAGAGAAAGTAAGTTCCAGGTAGATGGGGATACACCGCAAAGAAAGGACCTTCCACCGAGTCTTTGAACTTCCTGCATGTGTTCTCTCATAAGAAACAGCTCCCGATTAAAGAGACCTTGGTGGAGCATACATTTCATTTGAATGAGGCTGCTTGAATTTGAAGCGAGGGGGCGTTATCGTTTAACACATTCATGGCAAAGGACAGCTGTCTCGTAGGTAACTCTAGATTTTATTTTTGGAGCCCAACAAAGTTTTCTTAATATAAATGTCATGACGCGTGGGATCGGGCGCTTGTCAATTTTTGGGCATAATGAATTATTGGTGTACTCTTAAAGCCTGTCTATTTTTCTTGCTTTTGGTGGAAACACAATGCCAATGTATATTGAACAGAAGTCAAGATACTGACTATCGAAGGAGGTCGGGGTCGCCTGATGTTTGGGGTAAAAAAAGTCGAGAAAATTGGTTGCCAAACTGTGGTGACTTCAAAAGTTAAAATATCCTTTGAAACTGCAAATTTACAGTTTGATCTACGTTTTTCTGTAAATTCAAAACAGAAATGCATTTTTTGAATGGACATAAAAGATGATGGGCCTAAAACGAATATATCGATGAAAATTACCGAATCTCCGGAAATAGTCGATTTCTTCGATTTCATTATTTTGACGAGCGCCTGATTTCTTCACGCTCTTCCTCTCTGTAAACACGATTGTTGCAGTTTGGTTTTGAGAGCGCTGTAGTTCCAAGATGGTGACGTTCAAGATGTTTGCAAAGAGAAAGTTCCAGATAACTATGCGAAAGAGCACAAAGAAATGACATAAATGCCATCTGTTTTCGATCGCACTGTCATTGAGTGGTCGGAAGCCTTTCAGGAGGGTTGATGAGTTGACTGGTTAGTTGGTCGGTTGAATGGCTGTTTGTATTTTTGGCTGGTCGGTTGGTTGGTTAGTTGGTTATTGGTGGTTGATTGTTGGTGGTTGGTTGGTTGGTTGGTTAATAGAAAGTCGATTAGTTGGTTATTGTTTGGTGTTTGGTTGTTAGACTCGTTGGTTGATCACTGATTAGCTGTATTTTTTGCTATTTGAGTTATTGTTTAGGATGGTGGGTGAGAATGAGAAGGTATTTAGTTTGTTTCATAGCCTGTTTATTGACTAGCTGCTTAATGTTTGTCAATGTTTGCTCCATTTGATCTTTTATTGATGATTAGATAGGGTGTTGAGTAAAGGACTGTTTAGAACAAAAATTGTTTTAAGATACCATCTTCAGTTTTCATTTAAACCTTCAATAGCATCAATCAGCCACAGAGGGTAAGAAACCAGAAGTACTGAAGGTTTCTAGAAGTATCTCAGGTGGAAAAAAATTCTACTAGAATGCGCCAGGCGGGAATTATTTATTTCAAAGAGTTATTGATTAAATTTCATTTTCTATCCTTTACAACGTAATATTGGACAATTCAGAGACTTTTTTCTGTTATGTGACTACATTCTCAAAAGCTCCAAATGTTGCTAGAAACACGTCAACTAACTTGGTTTCTAGATAGCACCCATACATGTATTTGGCAGAATTCTTTTTCACGCCTGACCAATATTGCGAAAAGTTGCAACTCTTTGTTCAACATTGGCTGATAATAAGAAGGATATTTGGAACCCTCGCAGTCCTGATTGTTTGTGGTATAGTATTTGTTTTCAAACTTGTGAATAGGTACGCACAAAAAGGTCATCATTTAACTTTTTTTTTTTTCTCACACCGTTTGGGTTTTGTGGAAGTACATTCATATTTTAATCAGAACAGTTCTAGGTTTAAAACACTAAAAATTCCGAAGAACGCCAAAACACGAGAGTTTTTCAATTTGAGATAGATCTAGTGGGGACAGAATATCATTGTATGACGTTTTCAATTACTGTTGCAGTAATAATAATAGAAATAATAATAGATAGCATTTGTATAGCGCATGTCCCCACTCAACAGCAGGCTCTATGCGCTTTTCACTATATTATTACCCCAGCAGACCATATAACACTCCGAAACATTCTCAGCTTCCCGGGAAGCATACAGTGTAAGCAGCCGATTAAGCGCTCAAACACTAACAAACTGACAAGATCTTTCGCTGTCTATAGCCGGGTACCCATTCCCACCTGGGTGAAGTGAGGAAAATTCGTGTTAAGTGCCTTTCCCAAGGACACAACGTCGGGCCCTTGACGGGATTCGAACCCACGACCTTACGGTTGCGAGTCCGAGAGCCTAACCACTAGGCCACCGACGCAGTGTGTTCATATGGTTGACATTGATGTCCAAAAAGGGCATGGGTTGCATCACTTCCCAAAGAACAAATCCTTTGAAATGTCAGTTAATTCTAAATCATGGTCTCAGCCCTCCTTTGCTACAAACAACGTTATGCAAAGTGGGAAAGCTGTACAAGGTATACTATTATAGACCAACGCAACGTGTTGCGATATTTTAAAGAAAATACAAAGATTACACCAAGTTGAAAACCCATTTCTCAAAACTATCTCACTCTCTCTTTCTCCTCTTAAGTCCCCCCCCCTCTCTCTCTCTCTCTCTCTCTCTCTCTCTCTCTCTCTCTCTCTCTCTCTCTCTCTCTCTCTCTCTCTCTCTCTCTCTCTCTCTCTCTCTCTCTTTCACTTTCTCTTTTTCCCTTGTGGATGGTTGACGGGCGCACCAAGCATCTAACATTCTTATATTTCCTTCTATCTTTCTTTGTATTTTAATCCCAAGAAACACCTCTAATCTTTGACATTTATATGACCTAACTGTGTTGCAACTACCAATAAAAATTAAATTTGCTGAAGCTAAAACTGAATTACAAAGTGAAATAACAATTGTTCTAAAACTTTTTTTAAAACTTCGCTAAACATGTTGTCGTCTCTACTCTTGTTTTTCTTCATCTTTTTTTGCTGTTGTGGTGGTGTGGTGTGTTGCAGATTACAACGAAAGTTTTAAAATCTTCGACAAGAATAAGGACGGGAACATCTCGTTGGACGAGATTCTGGAGACGTTCCATGAGATGAACTTGCCTCTCACCCAAGAGGAAGCCGCCGATCTCATAAATGAGTTTGATGTAAACGGTTTGTTTCTAAGTCGATTTCCTTTACCGTTCTTGTGCTTTTTTGCACGCTTTCTCTCACTCACTAATTGTATTTGCCTCTCTGTCTGTCTGTCTGTCGGTCTGTCGGTCTGTCGGTCTGTCGGTCTGTCTGTCTGCCCCCGCCCCCTCCTACCCACCCTACCAGGGTCACCTAAGAATTTCCGAGAATGACCCAGTAAGGATCGGAATCACAACCTTTAGAGTGAAAGACGATTAGTATTAAAAAGATTCAGAACAAATTATTTGACAAAAATTCCACAGAAACAGTCTGTATTTTAGCAATTTAACGTGAGTTAGCTACCTATATGAAGAGAATTTGTATCGAGTATCTCCGTGTTTCGAATGGGAAGTAGTAGATTCTATCCCTTTAAATCTGGGTTGCCCTGAAATGCAAGATTGAAGCCCGCCTACTACATAAATGATCTAAATTACGTCAATAGTAGAGTGTAAAACACTGGAATTCCGACTGCTTAGTATAGCACTCTTCCATACGACATTTAAAAAGTGATGCAAAA